TTGTGCCTTAGCACCTATGCAGAAGGTATACACAAGATACAAATGTAGCCTGGATTTGAGGACCTAGCATGAAATCAGAGTTGAAGATGATACCATATTATGGGCCTGTATGGAAGGTGAAATTATGTTGTCCATGGTCCTTGAGAAGAGATAGCAAGGTAAGGGAAAGATTAAAAGTTTGAGTTTTGGCAATGCTGGTTTTGAATTGATGGCTAGATATTCACAAGGAGCTACCAGAGATGGGCTGAAAAGTTAGTTTGAACAGAAGAGACAGGTCTGGAGTAGTGAGGTAAACTCAAGATTTATTTTTATTTATATTCCACCCAAGTTAGCTCTAGATTGTAGAGATCGAAGTGGAATTTGTATTTCTCTGTGGATATCCAAGTAATGCCACGTGGAAAGTTGGAGGAGCTTCCTCCTGAAAAAAAAAAAAAATGCTGAAGGGTAATTAGAGAAGTAGGAGAAAAAGCATGAGAGGACAGTCACAAGAGCCAAAAGAAAGCACAACATTTCAAGAAAAAGAGCATGGCCAATGACAGGTGAAGGAGGATGAGGATGGAAATTTAGTAAATTGTGAAATTTAGCTAGGAAGAGGCATCACTGCCTTTAGCAAGAACAATTTCAGTTTAGTGTAGGAAACAAACTGAATTTAAAAGATGGTCCAGGATGGAATGAGGAAGAAGAGAACTCTAGGCAACAGTTGTATACAACGCATTCAAAGAGCTTAGAAACAATACGGCACAGGTTGGTGATTGCTCATGTGTGGGGAGACAGGAATGAGCTTCCCAAGATGGAAAAGACTAAACCTGGTTTATTTAGTAAGGTGAAAGAGCTGGAGATGGGTGGGTGTGAAAGGAAATCAGAGCAGGAGACAGCAAGTGAAGAATTTCTGCATGTGTGACAAGAGAAAGTATTGTAGGAGGGGAGGGTGAAGGTCACATCATATTTTATCAGTTTTCTCTTGGAAGAAATTGATGATAGCCTATGTAAAGACAGAAGTCAAGGCAAAAGGAGAGAACAGTGTCGAGGATGGCTGGGGCATGAAATTCATAGGGGTTAAACTGATGCTGTGCCATCAACAGCAGGCAACTGGGCTTGAAAACTTGAATTAAAAAAAAAAAAAGTTTCCTTCTACTCCTATGTTCTTATTTATGTTGGAGAAGTATACCCGTTCAGCTAGGAACGTGTAGACCTGAACAAGAAGAAAATTAAATTGGACTAAAAATTAAAATAAGCCTGGCTATAGGGCTTCTGCTAGCAACATCTGACAACATGAGAGCAGGAGCATGTTGAGAAAAGGCCAGGGCTGCGGGCTGGCAGAACAAATCTTGTGATGGAGAGAAGAATAAAAGTCAGGTGTGGAGAAGTATGAAGAGAATCAATAACCATATTATAGGAGAGAGGAAAGAGGAGATGGCCAAAAGAAGAGAAGAAATCACAAAAGTAGGTGGACTGGTGGTCCTAGAAGCCAAGTGACAGTTTCTGGAGAGTGGTGTGCGTCAGGGAGCAGGAATTCAGCAGAGAAAACAAAGATGAGATAAGCAGTGTTTGGTGAAGACAAGATTAGATAGATTATTCTTACTGCAAGTGGGACAGTTCAAGTAGCACCTGTAAAATTATAAAATGATAGCAAGGAAAAAGGAAACAGGCCCCTAAAGGGTCTTCCGAGGTATCAATATGGAAGTTAAACATTACTGAGGATTGAGAGGGGGAGAATCCAGAATTGATGAGGGAGGCTGACAGAAAAGAAAATTAATGGTAGATGACAGGAACATGGAGGGGGAGAAAAGAGAAGATATGGATATTTTGAAGATCTCTCTGAGTTAGAGCGAGAAGTCCAACATCTCCCCCGAGCATCTGGAGGGCAGCAAGAAAGAGGCCTCCTTGCAAAAGAGGACAGCTATGGACACCGTGTCAGACAGAGGGACACAGATCACTTCAAGAACCAGGAGCTGAAATATGAAGAGGCTGCAGTGAATGTGATTTTTTTTTTTTTGCCATCTAATGCACATCAGACCTTCTAATGGTGGCCTGAGCAGGAGATAACAGAGGAAAAGGGAAGAGAAGCAGGTAGAACTAGTATGAACTGTAGAGGAGTGAGGGTAACAGCAAATGTAGGGAGAGTGGAGCATGAGCACAGATGTGGTGATGCAGAAAGAGCTATGCGAGCCACAGCAAGTTACAGATGACAAAAAAGAAGCATAAAATATGCTGTGGGAGTACTCTGGGAGGTACTCAAGCAGCTAGGGGGCATGGCCCCAGGAAGGCAGGTGCTGAGGTCCTACCCCAAATGGTAGGAGTTTAGTGGTTAAGCACATCTCTTCTGGAAGGAGGAGGCATTGTTTTATAGTGAAGTACCTGGACAGTCAGTTAGGAGAGGGGTTCCGATTTTGATCTTAATTATTGGTGCATTTTAGGAAACTAACCAAAGGGTTAACTCCCACTTGTGCAGCAAGGATCAGTTAATGGGCACTATAGTGATGAGTGCCACCAAAGAACCTGTATTTGACCTGGGTAAATTTATTTAATCATGTAAAACAAATAGTTGCCTTTTTATAAGTGGTTTAAAATATTTTTTTTCCTGGCTTGTCAGTAAATGGAATTCAGACAAGCCCAAGGGAATTATACATACAGAAGGTTGATTTTCAATATTCCTGTAGTCACAGGAGTGACCAGGTTGGAGATGCTCACCTGAACTTAAAAGAAGATTCCTAGCTCAAGGCTCCAAAATGGAAAATTAAGTCACCATGTTCCCCTTGCGCTCTTAACACAGCTGCCTCTGCCCAGAAAGACTAGACAAGAAAACGTCTTCATAAACGCCAAGTTTGCTGAAGGAAACTTGTGTAAAAATCAGCAAGTCTTTAAATGAGCATCAGTTGACATACATGCCACAACATCGTTGCCACCTCTAGTTTTACAGCAGTCTTCATGCAATTCTGGAATGGGCAAATCCACCACTTACACTGATCAGAAATTCACCTGTCCCACTTTTTGGGATGAGTTGCTGTTCTAATTGCTAAACCTCAAAGTTCAGAAAAGCAATTTGATTATAGAATAAAACTGATCAGAAAGAAAAGACAACTGTAAGTCATGATTTTATTTCTGTGTGACACTACCCCAAAAAAGCACCTGCAGCGTGAAAATCCAGTGGCTCTTTTTTCCTTCTCTAAAAGGAAAGATTTTGCACTCATAAGTCAGCTTGCTGATGATGCATACAGGAGGAAAAGCTTGATTTGGTTCTCTTACAGCAACTGGATCTTCAGGACTATTGAGACCAGAAAAAAGGAAGATGTGTAGACAGCTATTCATATGACAGTGCTTTTTAAGGGCCCTGGGCTTACTAACAAAAAGGTCTCCGCTAAGTTCTAGCAACCAGGAAGCAAGACAACAGAAAACACAAAAATGGAAACAGGGTTGCAATCTGGCTGTACAGGATGTTAAGTGTATATTCTGCAACAAGGAAAGGAATATTTCAGGTTGGGACATTACATGAAGGCAACACACTTCAGATGTTGCATCAGAGAGCCTTTCCAAACCTGCTTCTCCCACCTGCTACACAATGTAACAAATGGAGGCACCCCCTCAACTAGATTAACCTTATATAGTAATAGTACAGTACAGAACTTGTTTTCAACAGGCAGCTAAATATTCACGTAGTAAAGATGTCATCAATTCACATATGCAAATTCATGCTAGTCTCAATTCGCGAGCAGCTTTCACTGCGGGTGCGTAGAAAAGTACATTGCAATCAACCTAAATCGTCACAGATAGGATGCTGGAAAAAAAGTCTGCATTTTTTTGTAAATTGGAAGGTGCAGAAACAAATGCAGAATGGAGCAACTGAGGACTGCCACTGATATCTGAAGGTTTTTTGGAGGTCATCTTTGACCACAGGCAATTTGTAAGCCTTGAGCTGGGCTCAGGATGCATTAACAGTGCAGAGGGAAGTAACCAACTAAATATAGCTCTCTCATAACTATTCAACTTTAGGTTAGAATTCAACTAGTTAAGATCCTGCATCAAACATCAGAATGATGGCATGTGAATGATCAACCAACCAATGAAAGAAAGATCACAATGCTGATGCTGCCATGTGCAGTTATGAATATCTAAATAGTTGTCCTGAGTATCAAGTCACCAAGTGACTTCACGTTTCCATCCTATGACTTGTGTATCTGATCTAGCGGATTGGGGACTAGACCAGGAGCCAAAAGACTAGGTTGAATTTCTACTTCCATCACTCACCTGCTTTGTGACTTTGGCAAGTTACACCACCTCTTTACCTCTTTTTATCCCCATTAGAGATTAAGGATAACAGTCTACAAAATAGACTAGCTTTGTAAACTGTTTCTGGAGGTGCAAAGATAGAATTTTATCACTGCACTCTCTCCTTACGGGTCATTCTGAGCTGAAAAAAGTGACTGTGGTCATAACTGTCAAGCATATCCCAAAGAAATGGCACACTCCCCAAAGTCATCCCATTTACCTCAGTTTTATTCAGTCAGAGCCCACTTAAAAAAACAACCCAGCCCACACACACTTGAGCCCATAACCATACCTTAAACACGTAAACATGGAATCCAGGGCTGGAATGGCAATTCCACACTAGATTTTCTCATAAAACTTCACCATTTCTACCATAATCCTCTCACCCACGGTACCATCTCCCATGTTAGTTGGGTTTTATTCAGGGATGGGTAGCCAGCCGCCAGCTCTTATCTTGAGACATTATCCCTCAGTTCAGCCAGCCCCTTCACCAGCTCTACCTATTGATACAAAGGCTCTCCCAGAAGAGATTCTAGCTATGCACTACACAATGGTCTTAGCAACGTGGCCTTTTAAACTACTTCACAAGGAGGGCTCCTTGTTGGATGGGCACATTCACAATCTAATAATGCCAGAGAATTCCTCTGCTTGAGGAATTCCTTAGTCTAAGACTACTAGGTGCGATTAGCACAGAAACTAGACTTGTCCAGTCAAAAAGCCCTGACAGTCTTTACCTGAATCTCCTCCGTTTCATCCACCAAGAGGAAACTTACAACCTTCTCCGTCATTTTCCTCCTCTTAGTCTCCTCATCCATCCCATCCTCTTCATCCTGTTCTTGGGGTTTGCCAACATTGTATATTGTAATTGGGTGTTTTCTTTTGTTTCCTCCAGCATGCATCCTCTTCTGACATTCCACACAGAGGTTTATTTTGCACATCTGGCACCTCACTGCTGCCCTTTGCCTTGAGCTTGTTGCACTGTTGTGCATTATATTCCCATTGGCACCCTTGCAGGAGTCGCAGTAAGGGACATGACCAGGTTTTATACGGGTCCGTTCGTGGTTTCGTAGCCTTTGCTGCTTATGCAGTTCCTCTTCACAGCGCTGGCATTGTAGGCTCCCACATTCATCACACTCAAAGATTGCTTCATCAGTCCCGCTGCAAACGTAGCTTTCCTGGCACATAAGTGCAGTGTTCTGTCCTTTCTCTGCTGTTTGTGTATGGGCACTCATCTTCAGATTTTTTAAAAAGTGTTTATCTGACGTCTTAATCAAAATGTATATAGATGTTCAGTTCTCAATTGTAAAGTTAGTGTCTTTGCAAGGAGGAATAAAATACTGCAAAAAGTCTATGGTTCCTTAATTTCTTTAAAAGTTCAATGGCTGCTCCTGCAAATATATGTACCAATGTGCATACTGAGTGTCTCGGCCACAAAATGTTTCACGATCTGTAAAGTGCAAACAAAGTGTTCTCTCTCTAAAACAAACTTAAACAATGTAGTTTGCTTCACATAGAGACCAAACTGCTAACCCACTTGTATTCCCTGATTAACCAGAAGCTGTAGTTTCAGTGATGTAAAGAAATCACTCTGGTGTATGTCAGTAGACTAGTTCAAATATTTCCTTGGAAGACCTAGAGCAGGGAAGGAAGGAAGGAAGGAAGGAAGATTAATTTTATTAGTAGCATACAATCTTCAGAAAAAGCGAGACACTAGAAATGCCAACATAGTTTCCCGCCACATTCTCTTAAAAAAACTTGGTGACTGCAGCATTGATGCTTCCCCAGTCAGAGCGGGGGGGGGGGGGGGGGGGGGTGGGGGAGACATGGACAGACACACACACACAATTGTGTCAATACTAGAAGATTCTCTGCTTTCAATCCACAGCTAAGCTCCTCCTCCAGAGTTCACAGTTCTCTCTGGGACTTCCCTGATCTGTTGTGGTTTGTTTTTTTTCCCCCCCAAACAAGACATTCTCCATGCACATCCATCCCAAAGCAGCCACACACAAAAGTGCAAATCATTATCACATCCATGCTGACGCTGGATAGACAGATCCCCTCAGAGGCAGATATGCGCACAACCTTGCCAAAGCGAGGCCTTGGAGACAAACACGTTGCACAACAACGGGCCTTTGTCTCAAACATGCTCGTGGGTCAGCTCACACAGGGAGCCCAAGCGGCGTGTGGTGTGTGCCATGTAACATCATGCAAAGCCAGCCAGCTGTTTATATTTTGCTCAGGTCTCTCAGCTTCCCTGAGCCCAACCAAAACACCAGGTTGCCTGGGGGGAGGGGGTGCTCCAAGGAACTGCTGGATTTGAAACAGTCTCTGTGCCCACGGGGCTGGCACCACACCTACACCCTGCCTGCACTTGTTGCTCCTTCCCTGGTGCATCTAGATTGAAAATACACCCCACCCCCCACTTAGTCACTTGGTTGTCAACAGGCCCGGCCATAGCAAAGGGCAGGCGGATCAGCTGGTGGCTGGGCCCTGCTCCCTCTGCTCACCTACCTGGCACCAGAAGGACTCCGTGACTTTGTCTTTTTAAACATTAGGGGGCCGGGGGGG